CCCCGCTGCAGCCCCTGGCCATCGCTTGTCTTTATGATCGTGGCTGCTGTTCCCAGACTTCCCAGTTTAGCGCCACGTGCTTCCAGGCCAGCCTGGGCACAGCTGTCAAAGTTGTGCTCTCAAGCTGTCACTCAGCTGAAGCCCGGCCTCAGCATCGGCTCTTGGGGCTTCCTGTATGGCATGGGGCTCAGATGCCATCCCCCTGCCCTCCGGGAAGCAGCTGATCCCATGGAAGGGGAGGAGGTGGGAGCCAGACAACACAGGGTTCGAATCCAGCTGTGCAAGGGTCCTCACCTCCCTGAACTCCCATTGCATCGCCTCTACTATGGGGATAACGATCTGTGCTTGGCAGGTGTGATGGATACTGGGCCAGCAGTATCCATCGTGGCTGCGGATACTTGTCAAAACACAAGAAAAACATACACACAGACAACCGAGTCCTGTGGGGAAATAGGGACGAAACGGCCACTCTCCCTAGTGGAAAGCGCCCCGTTCTCCCTTCTTTATTGGGTTCATTTACACAGGAATTCAGGTAAAGCTCACGAATCATTGCCAGGAAGTAAGGATCAAACAATAGATAACAAAGAAGTCTGAGGGCCTATTTTGAGTCAGGGTCAGACAGCTAAAGAGCTGTAAAACTCTGAGGAACAAACTTACTTCTTGCTTGGACCCTTATCATTCAATTGAGAGCATCCTAAATAAAGCAGGTTTCACAGGATTTTACATGTTCTTTCTTAGGCCTGATCACCCGGGGAATCTGCCCTTTCCAGCACAGGGCAGCACCACCCTCTGCCATTGTTTCAGGCTTAGGTGGAGCAAGGGAAGTAAGGCAGCCAAGAGATTAGGAGATTTTCTCTCAGATGATGAGGACTCGGGTTTTGTCAAAGCCGAGAGGCAGGGGTCCATCACCCCCTTTTGCTGTAGCCCCCAAGGTCCTTCCTTGGGGGCCTCCCACGTGCCTGTCTGAGGCCATTCCCCCCTTTGGGGAATCTTACCCGTCATTGGCTAACTGACCCAGCATTGGGGGCCAGGCAGAGTGAAGTAAAAGGGGCAGAAGCAGCGCTCCTGCCAGGGAGATAAGCTTTTGTCTCCTTGCTGGCTTACAGTCCAAGGTCGTTCCCTCAGCCTTAGCCTTGGCAGGGGTCACAGCCTCCAATACCAGGCAGGGTGGCTCCCAACAGGCAGGCTCCTGTGAGGATAAAACCCAACCAAGGGTATGCAGCATCTGGTGCACAGTAGGTGCTGAGTAAATGTTAGATGCCTTTGCTAGTCCTGTGCTGCAGGCCCCCACCGCCTGCTGTGCAGACCCCCTCCCCACAGGCCCAGAAGTCCCCACCTTCCCTTCCAAGATTGTCCCCTGAGCTGTAGGAGGGGCCTCCGAGCCAGGGCTGGGCAGGGCTGCAGCACACATCCTCTGTGGTGCCTGGGGCCAGGGGAAGGGAATACGGGCCCTGGGCTCACAGGCAGAATAACCGTACCATACATAACTCAGCCATTGTTCAAAGGCCCCACCAAGATTAACTGAGCACCTACTATGGGCCAGTAACTGTTCTCGGAAACAGGGCCCCAGTGTTAAACAAGATTCGTTTCACATACAGCGGGTCCTTGAATGACATCATTTCATTCAACCTCATTATGTTGATGAGATGCCATAGGAACTTCATTAAACTATCGTTGAGATCAGTTAGTCTATGATACACTGGTTTCATTACACCTCACTTCAGCAGCTACTGTCTCCTCTGTCGTGGCAGCTCCTGCTAGTGAGGCCCCTTGCGGCCCCAGCTCCTGTCTGGGTGGCCCCGGTTTCTGGTCTCAGTAAAGCCATAGTCTCCCTTTACAGTTCCAGCCCCAGGGAAGGTTGTGGCTTCCTGAGCTACTAACCTCAGGTTTTCCTCAGCTTCCCCTGGTTGTTCTTTCTGCCTATCCAACAACTTTGTAACTAATTTTCCTCATGCGAGTCCCTTTCACGGCATCATCTAAGGTAGGTCTTGTTTTCCTAGTTAGATCCCCCTTTATTCTGTGTCTCTGTTTCCTTGTCTGTGAGATGAGAATTCATTCATTCACTCAACTAATAAGCATCTAGTAGCTTCCCCGTGACCACAAAACTGTCTCAAGTATTGGGAATATAGGAAAGAAAACAGGTTAAAAGACATGAAAATCCAGGCGCAGCCCACTTCTCATGCCAGTCCTCATGCCTCATGCCTCATGACTCTGTAATGATCAGATAAGACGTTTGCACAAATGTCACCTGCTGCTTGGGTCTCGGGGACGGCTGTCACAAGCAAGCACTATTTGGACTACACACTGTTTTCTGAATCCAACTGTTCTGGTCCTAGGGCCTTTCCCCACCACCTCCTAGCCCCTCCAGCCCTGAAAGAGAATGATTTAGGACAAATAAAAGGAAGCCTTAATTTACACCATGGGGAGGCAACTTAAGGGGCTCATTATGCCAAGTGGTGGTACAGTTGTCAGCTATAAATAGGTTTTTAAAAACAGGTTTAGCTGAACCCATAGATGGCAGTGGCAGGGAGAGAGAAGGTAGAGATGGGTCTCAGAGCACCCACCTGCTGACTGCCTACTCCTGGCTCTGCCTGGGGCATCTAGCGCAATGGAAGGAGCGCTGGGCTGGGAGTCAGGAAAGCAGGGTTTGAATCCCAGATCTGCTGCCCATCAAATGCATGAGCTCGGACAAGTCATTTCATTGCGTTTGAGCCATCCTGAGAGTACCAGGAGGATGGAGGATCTCTGGTTGCTGTGATGATTAGCTTAGAACTGTAGATAGAGCACCTAATGCAGCTCCTGGTACTTGGTCAGAGCACAGTACACATTCGCTAGTATGGCCATTAACTGCTGCAGGAGATCTGGCTGGAATCGCAGCCCTTGGCATTAGCTAGCCCAGGAATCTTGCTGTGGGATCTTGAGCCAGCCGCCTTTCCCTCAGGGGTTCAGTTTCCCCACCTGCAAAATGGAAAAATAGTAACCACTTGCCTGACTCAGGAAAGTTAGTGTCATCTAAGAACCTGTACGTGAGCGATGGAACCATAATCTAAGTGTGGAGTTTGGAGCCAGGTTGCTTGGTGTTCAATCCCAGCTCCACCCCTTACTTAGATTCCTTTACTGTCCTGTGCCTGTTTGTTCATACCTAAAATGGAGATAATAATGGCAACTACCCCTTAAGGCGTTTGTGAGGATTAGTTAATGTAGATAATTAATGCAGATAAAGTGCTAGAACAGTGACTAGCACAGAGTATTTTAAGTGTTATGATTACTAAGCATACTTCACATGGTAACTCAATTGTTTGGGGCTTTGGAATCCGACAGACCTGCCTTCCTGTCCCAGCTCTACCCTCTTGCTCTGTGGCCTTGGATAAGTCGCTTGCCCCTCTGAGCCTCAGCTTCCTCCTCTCGACAATGGAAGGTGATCCTTACCCCTGTTTCCTTTAGACACCAGGACGCAGCAAAGCACACGTGCCCTGCCTGGCGTGTGTTAGCTGCTCATTGAAGGTGCTTTCCCTTCTTTCCCTCTTGGCTCCTCTCCTCAGCATTTTTCTCAAAGGTATACTTTAATGCCCTTCTGACCCAGAGCCCCTTCACTGCTTCCAGAAACTTCCCCATCAAAGCTGAGGCCAGAACTACAAACTGTGTGTTCTGGTGGGAAGAACCCTGAATTAGCAGTCAGAAAACCAGGGCTGGCTTGCTCATCTTTGTGATGCAAGGATTCTGATATGTTGTTTCCAGGGAGCCATGACCTTGGGCCATGAGCTTTCTTTCTCTAGACCTTGGGCTCCTCTTCTGTTCCATGATGAGGCTGTTGCCTTCTGTATAACATTCTGCAATCTTGCGATTTGGTGGCAAAGGCCAAGGTTAGGGTCGCGCCTTAGTTGGGCTGGGGATAGGAACGGGTACTGTGGGACTACTACTGAGTACCATGACACCCTTGAGTGAGGATGCGTCCTTCCAGCATGGGCTCAGGGTTGGAGGGAGGCTCTGCAGAAATGAGGAATCAGGATGACGCTGGAAAACTACCTGTCGGGTGCAAAACCAACCTGTCGTTATGCCATTGTTGACCCAGCTTTCCAGGGGCTGCTCTGGGAGGCCTGGTCCAGCCAGGTTGGGAAAGGGGGAGATAAGGGGGCCCAGCCCCTCCAGAAGCCTCCTGATTCTCCCTCCCAAAACCCACCCCTAGAAAGGACCAGGGAACCCCCCTCAAATATGCTCAGATACACACAAATTATAATAGCTCAAAGCACTTTTTGTCTTTTTTTCATAGGTTTTCTTTAAAGGAATTTTTAAAAATTCTCCTCCCTGCTCCCCCCAAATTTGTACTTTTCAACTGAGGAAAGTAAGTTATGCAACAGAGACTTAAGGATAAATCAGGGCACCAGGCTCCTCTGCAAAATGTTTAGGTCTTAAAGAGAGGGTAGTGCCTAAGATGCCATTTGGGGCATCGAGAAGAGGGGCACACCTTTCTGAAGGGCTGTGGGCCTTTAAATACATCTCCACCAACTACACGGACCAGAGGGCTGCAGAGGATGCCCTGACTTACAGCTCTATTAATGTAACAAAAACTGCAGGACCCCCTTAGCTGTGGGACACAGTTCCAAGCTCCCCGCCCCAGTGGATGCCTGAAACCTCTGACAGCCAAACCCTACATATACTATGTTTTACCTGTACATACCTATGATAAAGGTAATTTAGTTTGCAAATTAGACATGGCAAGATTGGCAATAACTAATAAAATGGTAACAAGTATATAAAAATACATTGTAATAAGTTATGTGGACATGTTCTCTCTCCCTCTCTCTCTCTCTCTCTCTCCCCACCCCCCGCCCCGATAATAACTGATCGGATCATTGAGACGCCTACCGACTAAAAGGAGGGTATCATATACGCAGGGAGGAGAGTCAGGACAAAGGACCATCCTGGGCAGGAAGGGGCTGAACGGCACAAGATTTCATCATACAACTCAGAACAGCATGCAGTTTAAAACTTGTGGACTGTTTATTTCTGGAATTTCCCGTTTAATATTTTCAGATCACAGTTGCCCCTGGGTAACTGAAACTGCAGAAAGCAAAAAGCTGGAGATAAAAGGGCTGTGCGTATGCAAAGCTCACTGAAGGCCACGCATTGAATCCTCTCCATTTGTGCAACTCCAGACATCGGGACTTGCCTTCGGAGTCCTTTTACTTGATGCGACCTTGGGCCATTCACATCCCATCTCCAGACCTCAGTTTCCCCACCTGTACAAGGATTATGAGCTCCCCATCTGCCAAGGCATATCAAACCTAATCGAGATGGATTCAATGAGTAGCTCGGTGAGAGCATTAAGCAATTGGTTCAGAGCCGGGAGAAATGACTGGTAACATTTACTGCTCTACCGCCAAATCAAAATCTCCCGGTTACTGCAAGGTCTTTTGAGCTGTTCCGGGAAAGGCGTGGTCAGGCCACGGCGAGCCACACCCCCAACACTAGGGCGGTCTTCGCCGCGCCCAACCCTGCGGCCCAAGGTTGGGACCCAGCGGTGAAAACCTACTACTCCCTATATAACCATCCGCCAGAGAGAAAGTAGTTCCCAACCCATAGCGGACTCCGTCAACCATACTAGGCGACATATAAAATTCTAGCTTCTGTCTAGAGTCAGCGATGGTTCTGAGGCCTCGGAGTCACCTTCCGGCACACTGGAAACCTGTTTTTCACCCGGTCGTCGTAGAAAGTAGTTCCGGCCTACGATAGGCTGATGGGTCCCTCCGCAGCAGGGGAAAGAAGATGGCGACCTCGTCGATGCCGGAGTCGGAGAAGAACGCGCCTACGAAAGGGTCAGGTGAGTGTCGGGTAGAGTCAGGTCACCCCACTGCATCCTGCTGTGAAGTGAGTCCATACTACGGGGGATACCCGGCGGCAAGGTCCCGGCCGGCGGGGCTGTCCGAACAGGGCCCCGGGGTCCCAGGCCCTTTAGTCGCTCTCGCACTTGCCTGAGCGGAAACCTGGCGCCGCCACAAGATGGCGTCGGGCCTGGAGCGCAGGCAGCGCCGGGGACAGCCCCGAGTCGCCAGGCCCCGGGACCGTCGTTGTCGGCCCCCTCCGCATGGGAACTAGGGGAAGGGGGAGCGAGCCACTGACCAAGGGTGCCCGTGGGCTGTACCACCGACCCTGCACCCGGGGGAACTCGGGAGGCCGAAGGGCTGAACCACTGATCCCGGACGGGACCCTTAGAGCGAACCACACTGCAGGAATCGTGGAGGGGAGGAGAGAAGGGTCGTACCGGCCCTTGACCACCCTCCCGAGGATGGGAAAGGACCCTGGGTTGGGGTGCAAGACTTCACGGTCCCGTTTTTCCGAAGCTCCCCTCTGTACACACGAGATAGCCCCATCCCGTCGGAGACTCAGTCTTTTCGCCTGCAGAATGGGCACAAGGGTGCAGCTGGGTGGAGCGTGGGTGCCGGGGCCAGTAAGGTGTCCCACCCGTATCAGCCCCCGCCACCTCTTCTCTCAGATTGAAGGCCCCAGACCCCGCACCCCCTTGTCAGGCGGGCCCCCGAGCCCATGGAGGAGAACGAGGTGGAGAGCAGTAGTGACGCGGCCCCTGGGCCTGGCCAGCCTGAGGAGCCCTCTGAGAGCGGCTTGGGTGTGGGCACCTCGGAAGCCGTGTCCGCCGACAGCAGCGACGCCGCCGCGGCCCCGGGGCCAGCGGAGGCCGACGACACCGGAGTGGGGCAAAGCTCGGACCGCGGCAGCAGCTCTCTGGTATGGGCCGTGCTGGCCGGCATGGGTGGAGGCAGGGACCACAGGCAGCACTGCCTGTCAGCTAAGGGGGAAGCTGCCAGCAAGGTTGGCTTATAACTGACACTTGTTTTTGGTTTACTGTGAGTCGGGCACCATGCCAAGCCCCTAATACGGATTTTCTCATTTAAGCCTCAAACCTTGTAAGGCACAAACCAGTCTTTCCCACATCTTTCAGTAAAGGAAACTGAGGTACAAAGCGCTGACAGCCAGGATCCAAATCTACGCCGTGGTCTTACCACTGTCCTTACTATTTGAGATATAGGTGCCCTGGTTCAAGCCTTGCCTCTGCCTGTGATTCACAGAGTACCTCTTTGAGCCTCGGTCTTCCCGTCTGTGAAATGGAACGGGAATATCTGCTTCCGAGCGTGCTGTCTCGTGAGCTCCCTCGGACATTCTCTTGGAAACGCTTTGTAAAACCATCTCCTGGCTCTGCCACTTCCCTAGGCGCCCTCCCTAGTGTGAACTGCTACCTCTCAGTTTTCTCATCTGTAAAGTGGGAATGATGAATACACCTGCCTTAATAGGGTTTTTGTTGAGGATTAAATGAATTTATGTGAATGTGCAATGCAATTAAAACAGTGCTCATCACATAACAATCAGTATTGGCCATTACTATTGTTGTTGTCTGCAAGGTAGTGATTGTTTTTGAGACATCACAGTCTAGAGGTGCACAACAGTGGCCCCCACTTTGAGGTTCAGGGTTTCATTAATTCAGCAGAAGTGAGCCTACCATGTGCCAAGCTTGTGCTGGATCCTGGAGAGGACAGGACAGATGTGGTCCCAGCCCTTCTGCAGGGTACAGGCAGCCCTGGGAGATGTCACACTGCACAGTAAACAGTGTGTGGTGCGAGAACACAGATGACCACGGCACTGAAGATGAGACAGGCCCCAGCTTGCCCTACACGGTCAGGGGTGGCTTCCGAGAAGAGGGACTAGCTAAATGGTGGGGAGAAAGCTGGGTAGGATTTAGCCATGGTGCAGTGCTGGGAAGCGTTTCAGGCAGAGGGAATGACTTATTCCAAAGTGCAATGAAAATAGCTACACCTGGCTGTTGTTTGGGGGCGGTAGGGCCCTTTACCTGAGCAGAGCCAGGTACCATGAGACTTGTTCTTGGGGAACACGGTGACTAGAGGGCTTTCTCACTGGTACTCAATGGGGCTGAGGGTATGTATGACTCCACTCACCATGTCCTTGGGCCTAGGAGCTCTAGCTAGGTGGCAGCCTGCCCTGCCCCATCCCTGGCTCCTAAACTCCCTCTCTCCCTGTTTCCTGTCCCCAGGAGGAGGTATCTGAGAGCAGCTCAAGCACGGATCCCCTGCCCCATGGCTACCTCCCTGATTCATCTTCTGTGTCCCATGGATCAGTCGCAGGGGTGACAGGTGGCCCCCCGGCCCTCGTGCACTCCAGTGCACTCCCAGACCCCAACATGCTGGTGTCTGACTGCACAGCTTCTTCCTCAGACCTGGGCTCGGCCATCGACAAGATCATCGAGTCCACCATTGGGCCCGACCTCATCCAGAGTAAGTCAGGCAGAGGACGGCAAGGGCCAGCCCACGGGGGTGTCCCTGCAGAGGCCAGCGAAACCAGCTCTGCACGCCCCAGCTGTGCAGACTCAGGAAATACCTCTCCCACTCTGGATGTGTAACACAGGAACAATAGCCCCTGCCTCAGAGCAGTACATGGTGTGAGGATTTAATGAGGCAGCACAGTAACGCTCTTAGTGTAGTGCCTGGTATGTGATAAGAGCTCAGTAAATACAAAAACAGTAACACCTAACTTTATACTGGGCTCTGTTCTAAACACTTTACATCCAGTAGCTCACTGATCCTCCCAGGAACCCCGCAAAGTGGGTGCTGTTATCATCATCACGGTGTAGATGAGAAATCTGAGGCGCAGAGGATGTAGAATAATTTACCTGCTGTGCCAGCAGGTGTCGGGCCGTAGGCTCCAGCAGTCCGACTCCAGAGCTCATGGTTTCCCGCACTGTACCTCTGTTCGCGATGCATGTAAAGGCCTGGAAGAGCCCTGGCGTGGTCTGGAAAGCCAGCCCTACGAAAGTGGTGCAGGAGCAGGGACTTAACCTTGGGCCAGTTTGGAGAGGAAGGATGGGGACTCTCCAGGCTCAGTGGTCGAAGGCGGGGCAGCTGGGGCAGCCATGGCGTCTCTGTGACTGGGGGTCATCATGGCACACCCGCCAGACTTCCCAGTAGCCCTGCCCTGGATGGGGGGAGGCATCTGAGGCCCAGAGGGGAGGTGCAGCTGGTTCACAGTCACTCAGGTGAGCCAGAATGAGTGTGGGCAGTGACACTTGTCGGTGTCACCTGGGAATCCCCTCCCCACATCTCTGCCCAGGCTGCATCACTGTGACCAGTGCTGAGGATGGTGGGGCAGAGACCACGCGGTACCTGATCCTGCAGGGACCAGATGATGGTAAGACCCCAGGCTCCAGGCCCAGGCAGCCCTGCAGTGGGCACGGGCAAGGAGAGGAAGGCTCAGCCGCAAACTCACTGTGTGATCTTGACAGGTCATGCACTGCGCTGGGCCTCAGTTTCCCCACTGTTCCTCTGGTAGGGCATTGGGTTCCAGAATCCCTGGGCCTGCCTGAGAGGGACAGCTTCACGGCCAACCTCCCCCTCCACTTCCCTTCCCTCTGATTCCCTCACCCACCCCCAGGTGCCCCCATGGCATCGCCAATGTCCAGTTCCACCCTGGCCCACAGCCTGGCAGCCATCGAGGCCCTGGCCGACGGCCCCACGTCCACATCCACGTGCCTGGAGCCAGCTGAGGAGGCCCGGGGTGGGCCCAGCTCCCCAGGACAGCCTCCCCCGGCTTCTGGCACCGAGGAGCCAGACCTGCAGAGCCTGGAGGCCATGATGGAGGTGGTGGTAGTGCAGCAGTTCAAGTGCAAGATGTGCCAGTACCGAAGCAGCACCAAGGCCACCCTGTTGCGCCATATGCGGGAGCGGCACTTCCGTCCAGGTGCGCTGATAGCAGTCTTCCTGGCAGGGACTGCACGGGAGGGGTGGGGGATGGGATTCGAGAGTCAGACCTGAACGCTTGTCATCCCCCCTGAGCAGCAGCTGCAGCTGGTAAGAAGGGGCGTCCACGGAAGTGGGGCGCCTCGACCAAGACCCAGGAGGAAGAGGCACCAGAGGAGGAAGAGGATGACGACATCGTAGATGCCGGTGCCATCGATGACCTGGAGGGTAGGCCACCAGGGCCACCAGGCCTGCTGCCTTCACCCCCGACAGCAAACACTGGCTGCTTCTGCTCCTTCTGGCCCCACGGAGGGCCGGAAAGGAACTGGCACCGACCCAGTCCCGGGCGCTTTCACTGCGACACAGAGGAGTGGGGCGCCCTTGGGGTCAGGACCCCTGTGCACAGTTGCACTGACTGAGCATGCGCTGAGCGAGAGCACTGGCCACACCCACGAGGGCCGCACTCACGCTGTTCCGACAGGAATGAAATGCAAGCCATATAGGCGCTTTCTTTCTGTAGCCATATTTTTTCAAGTAAAAGAAATACGGAATCAAGTTTATTTTATTTACCCAATGTATCCAAAATATTGTTTCAACATGCAGTCATTATAAAATACTATCAGTTACCTTTCTTTTTTATACTAATTTCTGGAGTCCGGTGTGTATTTTACACTTACTGTGTCTCAGTTTAGGCTGGGCACATTTCAAGGACTTGGCAGCCACATTCGGCCAGTGGCTTCTGCATTGTCATGGGCTCTGTGTCCTGCAGAGTCGCAGTTTGTAGACCTAAATGTTTACTTCAGCTGCTTTCTAACAATGACTGTACAGCGTCTTGAGGAAGGGGTGCCTTTTCTAGTTCGCGTGAAGGTGCTGTATAAGCCGATGGTGGGTGTCAGGAAAGGTGCAGAGAAAGGCCTGCAGGAGTCTGCAGAGGGATGCTCGCAGTCATCCAAGGGGACATCAGGGGGCTGCCTGGAGGAGGTGTCACTGGTGGGCATGGAGGAAGCATGGGCAGGGGTGGGGATGTAGGCCTCTTCCCGGGGAAGCAGGACAAGGGGTCAAGGCTGGATTCAGCGTTGATGCCCACCTTTTCTCACTGTCCCCACAGAGGACAGCGACTACAATCCAGCTGAAGACCAGCCCCGGGGTCGACAGCTGCGACCCCAGCGCCCCACCCCCAGCACACTGCGACCCCGAAGGAGGCCCGGCCGGCCCCGGAAGCTGCCTTGCCTAGAGACGTCGGAGTTCCCAGATGGTGAGACTTGGTTGTGGGGGGCCAGGGGGTGGCTTCCTTTCCTGCCTGTCTCTGTGGGGTCCTGGGGACCCAGTGTGCTGTGCAGAGCAGCGTGTCTCAAGCCAGGGTATCCTGCTGGCCTCCTTGTAAAGGGGAAATCCCTCCCAGACCAGCTGGAGAAACCCTGAGTTAAAGGATTATCAGCTTTATGGGAAGGCTGTTCATTGGGTAAGCTGTCACAGTGCAGAAGGCCGAGTCTTTATAGCTGAGCCAGTGCAGTAAGTGTCAAGTGTCACTACTGAAATAAGGACAAAGCTGAGGCCCGAGACTGTCTAAGGACACGGGCTTAGAGCGTTGCAGGTTGGGGACAGGAATGACCCGCTCATGCCAGCTCTGCCATTAACTAGCTGTGTGACCTGGAGCGTGTTCCTCTGCCCCTTGAAGCCCCTCTCCGTGAGCGCAGGTGATGGCGCCTGCCGCTGAGTGGTGCTTTCAGGTGTAAATACGCACAAAAGAGCACGTGGTAGCTCTCTTTGTGCAGGCGATTTGGGGGGAGTTCCATTTTGTAGTCTCGTTTTTAAAATAACTTTTCATTGAGATGTGTGTATGGAAAAGCATACTTGTCTTGAGTGCACGAATCTTCACAAGGTGAACACCTGTGTGATCTGGCACCGCAGTCAAGAAACAGGACGTCGCCCTGGCTGGTGTGGCTCAGTGGGTGGGGCGTCGTCCTACATACCGAAAGGTCACTGGTTCAATTCCTGCTCAGGGCACGCGCCTGGGTTGCAGGTTCAGTCCCCGGTTGGGGGTGTGTGCAAGAGGCAGCTGATCCATGTTTCTCTCCCTCTCTCTCACCCTTCACCTCTCTCTAAAAATAAATAAAATCTTCTAAAAAGTAAAGAAAAAGAAGCAGGATGTTACCAGCATTGTCTGGATCATTTTTAATTTTTACAATGTTACATTGAAATACCGTGGATGTGTTTGAATAGGTAATGCTCCTGTCTGCCCTCCCACCGTGCAGCCTCCCTAGGGAGACCAGTGTTAAAGTGCTACTGTTGCTCCCCAGACTACAATGTTCCATGAGGTCGCTAGAGCAGCAGTTATCATTTCCATTTGCCAGAGGGGGAAATGAGACACAGAGAGGGGATAACTTTGCCTAAAGACACACAGCGAGTCACTGACGGCCTGAAGCTAGCACACAGGTCGGCTGGCTGAGAGGTCCCCAACGCGCTGGCTGCTTCTCCAGACCGTCACATTTACGTCACGCTGTGCTCTCCCCGTGGGCTGTCTGTGTCTGCACTCTGGCCGAACGTGCCCATGAGTGATTGGACTGTGACCATGTGGGGGAAATATTTTGATGGGCTTCTGTCACGTGTGTCCTGGTGTGTTGTGACTGATCTGTGGCCTGGCATGTCTGTGGCAGGTGTGGAAGGAGAGCCTCTAGTGAGTTCCCAGAGTGGACAGAGCCCTCCGGAGCCACAGGACCCCGAAGCACCGAGCTCCTCAGGCCCAGGACGCCTGGTGGCCCTGGGCAAGGCCGATAGGGTCCCCGTGGACCCCAGCGTGAGCCAGTCGGATGCCGAGAACACAGCACCCACCTGTCAGGAGGAGCCTGACACCCCGCCCCGCCGCCGTGGCCGACCCTCCAGGCGCTTCCTAGGCAAGAAATACCGCAAGTAAGTGGGACAGAGCTGAGGGTCAGGGAGGCAGCGGGGCGGCCCCAGCCCAGCCAGACCTCTCCCCAACACCCTCCTGGCAGGTACTACTACAAGTCGCCCAAACCGCTTCTGCGTCCCTTCCTGTGCCGCATCTGCGGCTCCCGCTTCCTGTCCCACGAGGACCTGCGCTTCCACGTGAACTCCCACGAGGCCGGAGACCCCCAGCTCTTCAAGTGCCTGCAGTGCAGCTACCGCTCCCGCCGCTGGTCCTCACTCAAGGTGCGAGCTACAGAGAAAGGAGAGCGGCTGGGGGGTGGAGGGTGTGGCATGGGAGAAGGCAAAGGCAGCTGACTGGTGGCGCCAGGGAGTGGAGGTAATGGCCTTCCTGGGCATCCTCTCCTGCTGCTTCGGTGACACATGTCTGGGCTGCTGTGGCCGTTTTGCAGGTCGCACACTGCATAGCAGCATCGCGTCTTCAGGGGTGCGGTTTGTATGGACTTGCTTGTTCACCACCATCGCCAGCAGGTGGCAGTAAAGCTGGTTTTTAGCTAACTCAGTGTGTTAGAAAGTTTCCCAGCAGGTGGCGGTAATGAGTCTCAAGAGCTGGGCCCAATACCCAGGCCTTGCAGGCCACTCTCATTTCATCCTCACGCAGCCCAAGGAGGTCTCTCATAGGGTTGGTGGTCCCGTTTACTGACCGGGGACACTGCAGCTTGGCTGGACCAAAACAGGGCAGCAAAGTTGACCGTCACTGGGGTGGAGGGTCCTCAAGGAGAAATGGCCAGAGCCCCTGTGTTCCTGCTCACAGTGCCTCCTCAGACAGGGACCGTGACCTGGAAGTTGTTCTCTGGAACCCCAGGGGTCGGGGGCAGCAGTGCTGTCCCACCCTGCAGTACAGAGTACATAGGCTGTGGAGCTGCGCTGCCTGGGTTCAGCTTCAAGTCACGAGGTCACTGTGGGACCTCAGCAAGTCACTTCGCTCTGAGCCTCCATTTCCCCCTCTCAGGTGGTCAGGGGACAGGGCCTGGGCGGAGCAGGCAGTCTTGCTGGAGCAAGTCCCCAGCCCTCACAGGCCCAGTGCTGGCAGCACCGCCCCGTGCTGCGAGCCCGCTCCCCCCGCTCGAGCGCTGTGGGCACAGGCATGCTGCGGCAGGAGGGGAGTCCGAGCCCCAGTCCCTTGTCCTTTTGCCTCTCTCCCAGGAGCACATGTTCAACCATGTGGGCAGCAAGCCCTACAAGTGTGACGAGTGCAGCTACACCAGCGTCTACCGGAAAGACGTCATCCGGCATGCAGCTGTGCACAGCAGGGACCGGTCAGTGGTGGGGGTGGGACGGCGCCAGGGTGGGAAAGTGGGGGCCCAGGCCGACGTGGTTCTCAGGCAGCACTGCTCAGGGCCAGGCCCTTTGATCGCACATCACAGACATCGGAGGCGAGGTGGTTCATCGCAGGTCACTTGGCTCGGAACAGGGCAGTAGCAGGCCCTTAAGGCCCCTGATTCAGTCTGTCCCCTACTGCGAGCTTTCGTGTCCCGTCTGTAAAACGGGCAGCCATTGTCGAGGGCGTTAAAGGAGACTGTGTTCCCAGAGGGGCTCCGCGAACGATCAAAAGACTTTGCAGACCCCTGATCCACACTCATCTCCCGAGGCACTGAGAGAGCACACTGAGGACCAGTGCGTGGGGGCCTAGTGATTGCTCGCTGAACTAGTGATTAGACCTGCAGCTTGAGAGAGGAGTTAGCTTCACAGGCAGGAGGAGCGGCGAGAGGTTCGGTATGGGGATCCACCAGGTGGATCTGTCAACACAATTTTCAATAGAAATTCAAGGAGGATTTTATTCGGGTGTGACTTGCAAATCAGAGAACATGGTCTTTGGTGTGAACTGAAGACTCCCTGGTAGGGGTGGCAGGGCTGTTAAAAAAGGAGAAGGGTTGCTAGGGGAACGAGGTTAAGCACTCAGGTTATTGGCTCTCTTCTTTCATACTGCAGTGCATGAACCTGTCAGATCAACACGTTGCACGCCTGAACGTCGTTTGTTTTCTGATTGGTGGTGGCAACTGGGTTTTTTCAACAGGGGCTGACTCAGTGGTCAGCAGGTGGGGCTATGATACAGGAACAGTGGGAACCTAATGTTTACGCATTTGTCAGGGTTCTAGTTCTAGTTTAGGCTTGTAAAACAAAAGCTTTGGGGTTACTTAGCAACAGACTCAAACAGCACAGAGAGACTCTTTATTCTGCAGGCATTTTTCAAGTCCAAGGAGTAGAGTCGTGCTCTGTTACCAGCCTCAGCATTAAAATTGCAAAAATCCAGCTGTTGGGCTACAAGTTACGATGTAAAAGTTCTTATAAGTCCTCAGATCTCAAACTGTGTTTGTGGGAAAGCCTGCTCTCCAAGGTGCTTACAGTTTTTCTTAAGAAAATACAGAGGAAGAGGGTTATGTGTCCAAGTAGGATTGGAGACACCAAGGGTACAAGTGCATTCTTTCCTATGGGGCTCCTCAGAGCCTTGAAAATGCGTGTTTTCTGACGGAGAGAAAGGGCGCACCACCCCTAAGTGTAGGGAAAGGCAGAGCTTGCTTACAGTCCCCTGTTAGCATCCCCCCAGCAGACTAAGAGAAAGGGCCAGGTAGGGAGTAGGGATGCTTGGGGCTGACATCGGGAATGTCACTGGGCCTGGGGGTCTTGGGTGGACTTGGAGAAGTGATGGTTTAACCCCTCTACCTTTCTCCTGCAGGAAGAAGAGGCCAGATCCAGTAAGTCTGGGGCCCGGGCCTGGGAAGGGAGCCTGCCTGAGGGCTGCTTACGGGGTGGGGGCAGGAAGCGAGGTGTCTCCATCTGGCCCCCTCTCATCCCTCGCCAGACCCCGAAACTGAGCTCCTTCCCCTGTCCCGTGTGTGGCCGTGTCTACCCCATGCAGAAGAGACTCACACAGCACATGAAGACACACAGCACTGAGAAGCCCCATATGTGTGACAAGGTGAGTGGGCCAAGGACTGGGCAGGGGTGGGGGGGGGGAGCGCCTCCCCGGGTGGTCCACCAGCCAACACAGCCCGCCCCTTGCAGTGTGGAAAGTCCTTTAAGAAGCGCTACACCTTCAAGATGCACCTGCTCACACATATCCAGGCTGTCGCCAACCGCAGGTATCTCTCTTGTGAGGCCCCTGGGGCTGGAGCATCCCCCGCCCCCGCCCCCCACTGAGCCGCCCTTCCTCTGACCCCCAGATTCAAGTGCGAGTTCTGCGAGTTTGTGTGCGAGGACAAGAAGGCACTGCTGAACCACCAGCTGTCCCATGTCAGCGACAAGCCCTTCAAATGCAGCTTCTGCCCCTACCGCACCTTCCGGGAGGACTTCCTGCTGTCCCACGTGGCTGTCAAGCACACAGGTCAGGCCAGCCCCTCCCCTCCCTGTCAGCCCTCAGTCAGGGGCTCTGCTCTGTCCTTCTCCCCCTTCAGCCACGGGAGCAGCTGGAACCCTTCTGTCGGAAAGGGGACCCCCCTGTGGGGTCGCTCTCTCACCTCAGCCCCAGCGCCAGCCCAGTGCCCTGCTGTCAGGGCGGCCCTGGGTCAGTCACTTTCCCTCCGCCACACGGTGACTGCAAAAGCGAGGCCCGGTTGCTTCCTGAGCCCTGTCTTTGCGGGGCGCCGGGCTGGGCACGGGTTGCAGGTAGGCCCTGCCCTCGGTAGCTGATGCAGCAGAGACAGCATCAGTCTGCGCTCGCCCTGTGGGAGGTCTGCAGCCAAAGGGGGCTTACTCTTCTGGGTACCCAGTGTATGGCAGGCACACCTAGGGGGGCTTAGAGAACGGAAGCCAGGGCCCCCCTTCACCAGCCTGTCCCCCTGGGGGCTGGTGACTCGAGAGAGGAACGTGTGGTCACGTGCCCTTGAAAGGGGGGCCCTCACAGGAGGGCTGTGAGTGCCGAGGGCAGGCCTGCTTCCCTTCCGTCCTGGCCCACCACCACGACGGCGCGTGCGTGCCTGAGCTCAGGAAGGAACGCCTGGGAGGGGGTCAGCTGGAGAGGTCCTCGGGGTCATGGAGGGCTTCTCTGAGACGGGGGGTGCGGCGGCGGCATTCACAAGCAGCCCCCCACGTGTGCCTGCAGGGGCCAAGCCCTTCGCTTGCGAGTACTGCCACTTCAGCACGCGGCACAAGAAGAACCTGCGCCTGCACGTGCGGTGCCGACACGCAAGCAGCTTCGAGGAATGGGGGCGGCGCCACCCCGAGGAGCCCCCGTCCCGCCGTCGCCCCTTCTTCTCCCTGCAGCAGATTGAGGAGCTGAAGCAGCAGCACAGTGTGGCCCCTGGACAGCTCCCCAGCTCCCCGGGACTGCCCGAGGTTAGCGCAGCCGAGCAGGGTCGTCGTCGCGCCTCGGGTGCAGCAGAGTGATCCTGGCCTCAAAGGGCAGCGGAGGTCACAGGCATGTCAGCCCGCTGCTCAGAGGAGGAGAGGCTCTCCGGGCTAGGGACAGAGAGTGGGAGTACCGGGAGCTTGTTGTGGTGACGGTTTATTGTTTTCTCCTGTGAAGGAAGTCCAAAGGTCAGCAGTCCAGGGCTGGTGTGGCGGCTCCATGATTGGCCAGGGACCAAGCTCTGTTTACTTTTTCCCAGCCCTCTTAGAGAAATCACTTCCATCTTTGTGCTTGCCTCATGGTTCAGTATAGCTGCAGGAGCTCCAGCCTTCCTAGCCGCATCCTAGGCAAGAAGCAGGAGGAAGGGATGGGGGAAGAGCAGAAGAGCTGTCTGCCATCTCTCCATGTGTCTTCCTTATGACCTTGACCAGAAGCTCCTGCTCAGCCACATGGCCACGCTTAACTGCAAGAGAGGCTAGCAAGCATAGGCCTGTAGCTGAGAACATCGCCAGTCCACTCCCCCGCTAAGAGGTGCACCATCACGCTGTGCTGATAGAACACAGCCTCTGGAATCTGTCTTATGTTCAAGTCCCGGTTCTGCCGCTCACTAGCTGGGAGATCTTAAGCCCGATACTTCAGCTCTCTGAGCCTCAGCCAGTTCTCTGAAGCTCTGAGCCAGTAAATAGCTTTAAAAGTGGTCATGAAGATGAAACTAGCCAACATAACACGCCCAGCGCTCAGGGGGTGCCCGTACCCGCGGCACTTGAACCTGAGCTGCCCTCTCTCAGGGTTCGCCGTGTCACCCGACTGCAGGTCCCTTCAGAGGCAGCGCCTTTCCAGTCGCCTGAGACGCCCCCACTGCTCTGCTCTGACACCCTGGGTGGCGCTACCATCATCTACCAGCAGGGTGAGCTCTGAGGAAGGGTGGGAGCCGGGGCGTGCCGCAGGGTGGGGAGGGAGTTGGGTGCCAGTTTTCGAGCCCTTTCTAAGTCTCAGGTCCCACCCAACCCAGGAGCTGAGGAGTCAACCGCTATGGCCACGCAGACAGCTTTGGATCTGCTGCTGAACATGAGCGCCCAGCGGGAGCTGGGGGGCGCGGCACTGCAGGTGAGCCACCTGGGGACCTCTGCGCTGGGCCCCGGGCGGAGAGGAGAGCAGGGGAGCGCACGTGCCCCACCCTTGGGGAGCTCCCGTTGGTGGGTGAGATGGACGCGCCGACAGCCGGGGGACACACACACGCAGGCTGTGCCAGGGAGGCCCCGGGAGGGCAGCAGGGCCAGAGGGCCTCCCACTGCACTGTCCAGAGTCACCGGCGACCTCTGTGGTGCTGAGCGGCGAGCACCGCCTCCCGTGCCTTTTGAGTCCCTGTTCTCGGTCAGTCTTCCTCCTGCAGCCTGGGGCTCCCGAGGCCTCCCCCACTCAGACCTCAGACCTCTCTGTCCCTGCACCTCGGGCCCCCACCCTCCCCGGGTTCACCGTCTTGACTTCTCCCTCTTCCATCCAGTTGCCCATGGCCACCTGCCCCCCCCCACCGTCTCCCCTCCCTCCGCACGCCCCGCGCTTCTGTAAGGAAGGGAGAAGTTTGGGTGTGCGTCCTGCCTCCCAGCTCCTTGAGAAAACGTGCAGTGTGTGTCTGAGGTGATAGATTTCAAGGGCTCGGAGCAGCGGCTCGCCGCGGGGCCGGGAGGCGGAGGGGCCCGGCGTTAGACCCAGAGGTCTTCGTGGGATTTAGCTTGGGGGATTTGGGGGTGTAGAGAAGGCTTCTGTCTTTAGATAATTAAACGTCTTTAATCATTTTTACCTCAGTATCACCCCTGGAAAGACCTCTTTCACCCCCAAACTAGAGGAACATTCATTTGGACTTTTTTCTTAGGTTTCATTTTTTAAGCTTTAATCTTTTAAAAAAATGTATTTTATTTACCTATTTTTAGAGAGAGGATGAGGGAGAAAGAAAGAAGGAAAGGGAGAGAAAACATCAGTCCATTGCCTCTCACACACACCCCAACTGGGGGACCAAACCTGCGACCCCGGCGTGCACCCTGACTGGGAACCAGTCAGTAACCTTCTGGTTCACAGGCCAGCATTTAGTCCACTGAGCCACACCAGCCGGGCCGGAGATCTGTCTTTTATCTCTTATAGGAATTGTTAAATCCTGCTCACCCCCCAGTTTCTTTATTTGCTGATCTCGTGGTTTGTTTTGCTGTAGATTTTAGCTGTTTTTCTGTCATGATTAGAAAAATCTTCCTACCCCAGGATTATAAAAATACCCACATTTTTTCTTCATATGCATTGAGAGTTTTATTGTTATGTTTTAGTCTTTAATCCAGCCGAAGCAGAGACCTTGGAGCAAGATCTGAGGTCACGCTCTGACTTTATTTTTTTCAAGTGGTTTGCCGCTTGTCTCTGTATGCCAAGATTTCTCAGCCCTGGCACTTGGGACCAGATAATTCCTCACGATGGGGGCTGTCCTGTGCACCCTGGAATTTAGCAGCACCCCTGACCTCTACCCCCTAGACACCCGTTGCACGCCCTCTCCAATCGTGACAACCAGAGAAATGTCCCCAGACACGGCCCGGTGCCCTGGGGGGCCGTGCGGGTCTCCCGAATTCTGGCTGGGGTGTGGGGAGCCAGGTTGTGTTTCGGGGAGAACACGCAGTTGGGGCCGTGCAGATATGAGTGCTGGCGGCACAGGGTCTGGCCAGAGCCCGGGGCGGCAGGCGGCCCGGAGCACCAGCGCCCACGGACCCCGCCCCAGACGTGCACCGCTGCCGTTGCAGGTGGCCGTGGTGAAGTCGGAGGATGGGGAAGCACAGTTGGCAGCCCCCGGTGGGCAGCCCTCCCCCGCGGGCGCCGCCGCACAAGTGGTAACCCTCCACGTGGCAGAGCCGGGGGGCGGGGTGGCAGCCGAGAGCCAGCTAGGCCCCCCTGACCTACAGCAGATCACCCTGGCGCCCGGTCCCTTCGGCGGGGCTGGGTACAGCGTCATCACAGCACCCCCTATGGAAGAGGGGACATCCGCTCCTGGCACACCCTACAGGTAAGGCCTGCCGCCTGTGAGGCTGCCCTCATCCCACTGTAAGCATGCCGAGGGAGGTCAGAGGAGGACCCTGCCCATCCAGACCCAGTTGGCAGGAGGTGAAAGTCTGAATAGCCAGAGAGTGATCGGGAGCTGTCTCCTGCTCAGGAGTCAGAGGCTACTGTCTTGTGGCCACTTAGATGTTCCAGGCAATGGAGACCCATGAACTCGCCCAGAGCATTCCCGGCAGACCCACGTTTCCCTCACTTTACACATGGGAAAGCAGGCCAGTGGGTGAGGATTTCAGCCCTGCTCCCTCTGGCTCCGGCGCCCGTGTGCTCTTTGCTCTGGATGATTCCTGGGGCATTGCCCAGTTCTGACCTTTGGAACAAATCTGGCTCCTCGCTGGCATCTTCCCTCAGCTTCCTCCACACTGAGCGAGTTTGGGACGGAGCTGTTTGTATCTTCTGTGCTGACCGAACCCCCAGGCGGTCTAAGGCCTGAATTCAGGCACCCAACTGTGAAGCGGAGATGGGGGTCAGGGTCGCTGGGCCAGGGCCTGGCAGCCCGGTCCAGCACCTGCCCTCTGCTCCTGGGCTGCGGGTTCTGTCAGCCCTGCCAGCCCGGCCTGGCCAGCCTCGGGCTGGACCCCTTGAGCTTTCACCCTGCCGCTCCCCACCGTGCCCCCCAGGTGGGCAGGGTCACCACTCCTGAGCGGCACAGCGCCCCAGACGCAGCACCACAGGCAGCAGAGACAGCGGAGGTTCAGCTGGGGAACAGCCAGGATTTCACCCAGGGTCCACCCTTGCTGCACTCCCCCCGCAGTGGGTGGCTTTCTTGGGGAAGGGGCCCCCGTGGCCCTCGAGCCCCTCTCAGAACCCTGGTTCGCCCCACTCCTCTGTGCCCACAGTGAGGAGCCCCCAGGAGAGGCAGCCCAGACTGTGGTTGTGAGCGACACCCTGAAGGAAGCTGGCACCCACTACATCATGGCAGCCGACGGGACCCAGCTGCATCACATCGAGGTGAGGCTGGGCAGCCCGCCCCGCCCCACTTCCCGGCGCCCCGCCCCACTCGGCGCCTCACGCTCCCGTCTGTCCGCAGCTGGCTGCAGACGGCTCCATCTCCTTTCCAAGCCCCGATGCGCTCGCCTCCGGAGCCAAGTGGCCTCTGCTGCAGTGTGGGGGGCTGCCCAGGGATGGCCCTGCGTCCCCGTCTCCAGCCAGGACCCGCCTGGCGGGGGACCCCCAGGGCTCTGCCTCCCCACCACCTACAAGCAGCAAAGCTCTGGGCCTAGTAGTGCCCCCCTCACCGCCATCCGCAGCCACCGCATCATCCAAGAAATTTTCCTGCAAGATCTGTGCCGAGGCCTTCTTCGGCCGAGCTGAGATGGAGAGTCACAAACGGGCCCACGCCGGCCCAAGCGCCTTCAAGTGCCCCGACTGCCCCTTCAGCGCCCGCCAGTGGCCCGAGGTCCGGGTAAGTGCAGCCCCCTGTGCCCCAGCTGGCGCCGGCGTACGGGACAGACCCTGGCTGAGCACCCCCTCGAGCCAGCCATCCATTCCCCCCTAGTCAGAGATGACTGGGCAAGGCACCCAGGTGTCTCCGTCTGGGGGAAGGGGGGGGAAGCAGACAACACGGCTGGGACCCAGCAGTGTCCCCAGAGTGGACAGCGCCCATGGCAGAGCACAGACAGGAACGAGTCACGTGGGCCTGGGCTGTGGGGGGTGTCACAGGGGAGGTGTGCAGGCATGCTTAGGGAAACTCAGGTTGTTCACAGTACAGGGCACACAGAGTCCAGGGAAGGTTCCAGGGCAGGTTCACGGTCCAGTTCGGGGGCTCCCTCCCTCTCCCCAGAGATTTCTGGATCCAGCCACACGCTGAATTCTCAAAGCAGCTGAAACTGGGGAGCTGGGCTCAGGGCCCTAGAATGTCAGGGCTGGGGGAGACCACCTGAGGTCCCTCCATCCAAGTGTGTGTTACTTGGGGTAAACTGAGTCTGAAAGCAGGGACGGGGTTTTCCGAGTGACCTGATGGCAGAACCCGTGGCTTTCTGCTCTCGTAAGCATGGGGCCCCACATCTTGGTCTGGTGTGTGCTTTCTGTCCGGCTCCTCCCCGAGCCCTCTCAGGGGACGGGCTCCCCTGCAGCTCCGCCTGGGAGCTGCCCGCCCGGCCCCGCTGACGCCCGCTCGGTCCCCCGCAGGCCCACATGGTGCAGCACTCTGGCCTGCGGCCCCACCAGTGCAGCCAGTGCAGCTTTGCCTCCAAGAACAAGAAGGACCTGCGGCGGCACGTGCTGACCCACACCAACGAGAAGCCTTTCTCGTGCCACCTCTGCGGGCAGCGGTGAGGCTGGAGACGGCCGGGCTGGGGCTGCCGGGTGGCACATGTGGTAGGGCCGCCCCTGAGCTTTCGTCCCTTCCCCACAGTTTCAACCGGAACGGGCACCTCAAGTTCCACATCCAGCGCCTGCACAGTCCTGATGGGAGAAAGGCAGGGACCCCTACTGCCCGGGCCCCGGCCCAGCCCCCCACCCAGACCATCATCCTGAACAGTGACGACGAGACACTGGCCACACTGCACAGTGAGCTGCCCCGGGGACCCAGGGTAGACCAGGGACTTGAGCTACTGCCCCAGAGAGCACCCTTGGGCCATGGTGGGGGCTGGGCCATTTCAGATTTTCCTAGATCCCCCAGTGAGCACCCTCCCCTCTCCACCCAGCCGCCCTGCAGTCCAGTCATGGGGTCCTGGGCCCAGAGCAGCTCCAGCAGGCCCTGGGCCAGGAGCACATCATCGTGGCCCAGGAGCAGACAGTGACCAATCAGGTAAGAGCCTGCTCGGAGGGCCCTGCTGGCAGGTCAAGGGCAGGGTTGGGGCGCATGGAGAGCTGAGGCTAGCACTGGCTTGCCTGTGGCAGGAGGAAGCCACCTACATCCAGGAGATCACCACAGCAGATGGCCAGACAGTGCAGCATCTGGTGACCTCCGACAACCAGGTGAGCAGAACACCTCAGCGTGAGTGCCCACATCCCAGGCCCCACTTTGGCGACAAGCAGTACTTCCCAAACCACCCCTCCCAGGGTGCGTGCTTGCAGCTGCCAGTGGTGTCACCGGCCCGCCTGCTCGGGTGTCCTTGCTGAGCTCTTGGTGAACAGGGTCTGCACCTGCCTCCTCTCCTCCCTCCTTCAGGTACAGTACATCATCTCTCAGGACGGAGTGCAGCACCTGCTCCCCCAGGAGTACGTTGTGGTCCCAGAGGGCCATCACATCCAGGTAGGCCAGGCCTGGGATGAGGGTGGGACAGGGGAGGGGGGTGCACAGCTCCTCCCGGAGTCACCAGGTTGGCTCCCTCTCTCCAGGTACAGGAGGGCCAGATCACGCACATCCAGTACGAACAAGGGGCCCCGTTCCTTCAGGAGTCCCAGGTAGGGCTTCGGGGGCCCGATGGCGCCGGGGCGCGGACAGGAGTCTCCAGGGCATCTCACTGGCTTCTCCTTCCAGATCCAGTATGTGCCTGTGTCCCCAGGCCAGCAGCTTGTCACACAGGCCCAACTTGAGGCTGCAGCACACTCGGCTGTGACAGGTATGGTGCCGGCCCCTGAGGACCATGGGGCCCAGGCCTCGCTTCCGGGGCCGCGGGCTCACCATCCTCTCCCCTCCTCTGGCAGCGGTGGCTGACGCTGCCATGGCCCAAGCCCAGGGCCTGTTTGGCACAGAGGAGACGGTGCCTGAACACATCCAGCAGCTTCAACACCAGGGCATCGAGTACGACGTCATCACCCTGACCGATGACTGAGCCCCAGGGCACAACGCAGACCACGGATGTTGGGGCCAGCCCTGCAGGGGTGGGGGACCCCCACCAGGACTCATGTCCTTGCTCCACCTGGGGTCTCCGGATACTGGGAAGCCAGCATCCTGTCACTCCAGGGGAGCCAGACCTGTGCTGTGGGGGTTGGGGAACAGCCACGGGCGCCAGCCGGGACATGCTGGGTGCCCCAGCCTGCAGGCAGGCTTTGGGAGAGAAATTTATTTTTGTTTGGATGGACCCACTGGCCTCTCAGTCTCAATAAAGGGACCAGAGTCCAGCCCTGGCCAGCTCAGTTTGTCCACTTGTTGCTACAGCGTGAAGCAGGCAAGACTTGGGGAGCGGAAGGAAAGGTGGAGCCTGTGACAGCCACAGGGGGGAGTGAGGTGGAGGTGGCCTGGCCCGCAGTGCATCCAGCCTCGCCTGTGTAAGTACAGTGGCCCCAAAGCAGCGCAGGCCTGACACAGCCCGCGAGAGCCCCCAGCTCCCACGCTGACCCCGAGGGGCACCTGCTCCACACACTAGTCCACAAAGGGCAGTGCAGCCAGGAGGCCACTTAACAGAGGCTGTGGCAAGGCCTGCGATGGCTCTGAGCTGCATTTCCTCGACCCTTGACTGTACAACACCTGCTGCCCACTCACTGCACCAGTCCCAGGGCCAGCAGGTGTCCGGCTTTCTTGCTGGGGACAGCCACCCGTCCTCTGCTCTCCAGGGGGACTAGCACAGGCTCAGAAGTGGGAGTGTGGGGCTTACCAGATGGGTGGTGCAGGGCTCTGGACTCCAGACCTGCTGGGCAGAGGCTGAAGCCACCAGGGTCCCAGTTGTGGGGATAGCAGGGCGAGAAGTTAGACACCAGAGCCCTGGGGCTGGAGGTAGGGCCCAGGGGTCATGAGGTGAGCCTGGATGTACAAAGCTGTGGCTCCAGGTTCCTGAGCCCTCTCTGCCCTCAAGACCCTCACTCATTCTTCGGAGAGGGTTTTTTGTATTTCCTTTTACAAATGAAACAAGGTGGCACAGGTAGGGGAAGAAGGGGTGGGGCCTATTTACAGGGACGTGGAGTCTGAGGTGGGCGGTTGGGGGTGGGGCAGGGAGGGGAGCCTCGGCAGAGCCGTAGTCTTCCTATGTCGTTGGCAGCCCGAGGGCCACGAGTCCCGCAGTCCGCACCAGCACCCTGGGGCTCCTCCTCCCCGCAGGATGTGTTAAGTGGGGTGAGGCTCTCGGCTAGGGCCCTGTTCTCGGCCCGAGTCCCGGTCCTTGGCCTCCGAGGAGGAGGAAGAGGAGCCGGAGCCATGGCTGCGGCCAGACTGCCGGTAGGCAGCGATCAGCTCCTGCAGCCGCTCAGCTGTGGGCCCCCACTTGGCAAAGCCGGGGTCGTTCTGCAGGAAGAGGACGGCTGTGTTGTGGACGGCCTTGTAGTGCATCTCCTCCCTGCGGGCAGAAGCAGCCGCTCAGGGTCGGGCCCAGCCAGCCCAGTTGGCCCAGCCCCCCGCCCCGGGCCTCCCCGGGCACCCACTTCTTGCAGATGTGCTGGGACCCGCTGCGGTACTCGTGCTCGAAGGCGGGCAGGACCAGCTGGTGGCGTTTGAAGCGGCTCTGCTCCATGCGGGTGAGCGCCGGTGTCGGGGGGTCCCGCCACTCGGGGATGAACACGATGAAGGACAGGGGCTCCGGAGAGCTCTCGAGCAGTTTCTACAGGAGGGGGCACGGGACGGCTGTCAGGGGCTGTTCCCCGGGAGCCTGGTGCCCTTGCTCGCCACCCCCAGCCCAGCAGCAGCAGCAGCAGCATACCCACCTCGAAGTGAGAGACCATGGCGTCCATGAGCTCCTCGCAGAAAGGGGGGTTGGCCTCAAAGGAGCCACTCAGCGGGGAGAAGTCCAGGCAGGGCCTGGGGACAGAGGTGAGCGTTCTGAGTTCTGATTTCCCAGCCAAACGCAGGTGCTGCCCACCCTTAGGCAGCCACGCTGAAGACATGGCCCTGATCAGGCCAGAGGCCAACACTGACCCTTAATTCATCCTGGGACAACATGTGGCCATCTCCACAATACATGAAGACAGAGAGGTTCGGGCTTGACGGCCCAGTCACCAAGCTAACCAGTGGAGGGGCTGGAGCGCAGATCCAGCTCTTCCCCACTGCCACCACAGCACGGGCCACGCTCAGGGGCCCCAGCTGCCGAGCTTGCCCTGCTGCTGCTGGCCTGGCCCCACCTTCCTGCTGGAGACAGCACCATCTCCTGTCCGATCTCGCCTCCTGCCCCCATGTGAGTCCGCAGGGCCTGTGAGGCCTGTACCCCCACTTCTCTTTCCTCTCAGCACTCTAAGTAAGGGCTAACTGAGAAACCCACAGGCGGGGCGGAGGGCATGTGCCAGGTCACACGGAGTGACCTGGTAGGGTGAGGGCAGGGACTGCACCAGAGACTGCCCAGCTCAAAGCCCTACAGCGTCAGAACGCAGCTAGCCAGGGTGGGACCTCTGCCCTGGACAGCTTCCCAGGCCTGCGCAGCAGGGGCCCAGCAGCCCCTGGCTCTCACCCGCGGGAGCCAAAGTAGCCGTCTGTGTCAGGGAAGGCGGAGCAGTACTGGCGGAAGTAGCAGTTGAGGGGCGAGGCGAAGCACTCAAAAGTGACGCTGAAGAGTCGGTGGAGGGCCTCGAAGACGTGCACTGGCAGCGATCCCTGCAGGCCTGTCCCCTCGTAGAGGCCCACGCCAAACATCATCTGCAGAGTGGCCGCCGTCAGCGTCTGGGGCTCAGCCCGCCCACCCCCCCCCCTCAACCCAGAGGAGCCCTCCCCGGCTGCCCCAGGCCGGTACCTGGTACCGCCGGAGGAGACACCAGACTCGGGGCAGGAACCTCTCGAAGGCCGAGTCATCGATGCAGCTGTAGCGGTAGAGGAGCCACTGTGGGGCAGAAAGCAGCGGGCTTCAGCACAGGTCCCCTTCCTCGCTGGCCTTCCACTCAGGACTTGGGGTCAAGAAAGAGCCAGCCCTTGCCTTTCCCACCTGTGAAGACCTGCCTCCCCTCCTGCCAGCCCTTACCAGCTTACTGAAGTAGTTGCGGCTGACCTTGACCATCTCTCCCTTATACCGGATGCAGACCACATTATTCTCCATGTGCATCTCCACGCTGGGCATGGGCGGCGCGGACACAGCCAGCCGTACTGGGTAGCAGTACACCAGGCGGGGCTCCACCTCTGGGGCCTCCACGTCCTCTGCAGATGGGGACAGCAGTGAGGAACCACCCTGTCCCCACTTAGCCACCCCCACCCTGGACAGCCTCAGTGCTGTGTGCTAGGGGATCCCCCTCACCCCAGTCACCAAGGGAGGTACACCGCATCCCATGGGGAGGTGCGTGCAACTCCAAGACAGGTCAGGGATCGGTGGGGGCAAGAACTGGTGGCCGGTGTCCATGTCCCTATACTGACCCGGGCTCCCGCTGGGATGCCTCGGGGCCTGCTGAGCACGCAGGCGCAGATGCCACGTGAAAATAAAACTGCATCAGCTTCACAATAGTTACAATACCTCACTTAGGGATCTTTTCGGGGCCAAACGCTAAGTTACCACTGAGTCCTCATGTGATCCTACTGGCCAGGTATCATACCTCTGAGCAAACTGAGGCTTATAAGAGAATGGATCTAAATGCAGGTCCAACTACCAATACTTAACCCCTGCCTGCCTGTCTCTCCCACCTCGTCACTTCTCCCTGTTTGCTAGAGGAGTGCTGAGACCCCTGGCGAAAGGACACAGCAGGTCGTGCCCCAGGCCCTGCTGGGAGGAGTGGTCCTCCCCAGACCAGTCTGGCCTCGAGGCCGTCTCACCGTCCCCCTGAGCAGGGCCTAGCACACAGGGCTGACGGCACCAGGGCCGGCTCCTGCCAGTTGGCCCTACCTGGGATGTTGTTCTCCTTGAGGATGGCGAGGTGCTTCTCGCGGATCCGCTTGACGTACTCCAGGGAGATGTGGTAGATCTTGCTGCAGATGCCCTCCACGGAGTCCTTGGCGGCGGCCGAGACGTGGGGGCCGCACTGTTTCCGCAGATGCTCCAGGCGGTCCTGTGGGAGAGGGCTCTGGTGGGCTGGCGGCCGGGGAGGGCTGCCGGGTTGCAGCCGTCCCGGGTTTCAAACAGGCTCTGCTACTCACTAGCCGTGTCACTTGGGTAAAGCCCTGTGTGTCTGAGTCACTCCTCAGCTGCTAAGGGCACCTGAAATACCTAGCTAGCAAGGCAGTCGGAATGTTAAATGCGGTCGTTCCTGTTTGGGGCCTCGCAAGCCCCTGGCATACAGCAAGTGTCCAGTAATGCCCAGGTTACCCTGTGCCAGATCCCAGGACACTTGGCTGGGGAAACAGACAGCCAGGCATGGTCCCTGCTTATAAAGCGTTTCCTTTCAGTCTGCTGGGGTGAGAGATCATTAAAAACGGGGTCCTTCCTTGGTTGCTGCAGATTTGAAATGGGAGCTTTTAGCAACTTGCAAAGATAACGGTGGGCATTTTCAGTTTCGCTGAATCACACGTGAAGTGACGAGTGAGAATGAGTCACTCTGGCTAGTGAGCACACCTACATTTGTCAGCCCCTACGTGTCAAGTACACAGTTACTATTGTGAAGTGTGAAACCTCGTCTCGTGGAAAATGGTCCTGAAAAGAAAGCCCATTGCCAGTGCTGGTGGAGGATTAAAGCAGTAGTGGGTTTGGGCCAGAACAAAGAATTGTTGGGGACACCTTACAGAACTAAACTGAATTTTGTGGTAGTTCCTAAATACGATGTAAACACACACCCTCACCCCCAAGAAAAGACAGTTTGTCGACCTGTTTCTAAAAGTCATTTGAGAGATGCTGGCTGTTCATTAGGCTGAGAAGGCAGCTACTGACGGCAGGCGGCCAATCACAGGATTTTGTTAGGAACCTTAACAGCAATGTTCTCTGGGAGAACGCCGGGAGCCTAGACAAACATCTCCATCTTCGTGAGTTTGGGGCCTGAGAAGTGTCAAAAGCCTGCTGTGGGGCCCTGCCCAGCCCGGGCAGGCAGAGTGGGCTTCTGGGAGGAAGTGGCCACACAGCCCACTCACCATGTAGTCCTCCTTGGAGGCTGAGTGGTCCTTCCGCAGCCAGCTGAAGGTGTCCTCCACGTTCCACTTGACCACCTTCCTGCTGTCGGGGGAGGCACTCCTGCCGGAGGGCGTGCAGCCAGGGCACAGGTTAAGTGTCTGCACCCCTTCCCCAGTTTCCCCCATCCCACTTCCAGGCACCAACCCCTAGGCTGACATTGCAGCCTTTCTCCTGCCTTTGGGAGCTCAGCCCCACTCGGCCACCAAGAGCAATGACAGAGCCCTGAGTGAACTGATGGCTTATGACCTCCCCGCCCCCCATCACAGAGCCCTCCTGCTGGAGGCAGGAGAGACAACCAAACCTGGACTCGATGAGCCGCCTGGCAGCCTCTGCGTATTTAAAAAGCAGGCGCTTGGCTTCCTCCCGAAATTTGATGCGAGATAACCTAGGTTAGAGCATGGACAGAGTTAGAGCCCTTCTATACAGAACTGGACACAAACTAAATGGCCCTGGGCCAGCCTCAGCTGTGGGGCCGTACCTGATAGGAATGTCATTCATGATTTCACGAAACATGGAGGGTGAAACAACTGGTTCGCAGTTGCTTGGCAACAGGGGGTCAGAGCCTTTGTCCACGACCTTGCGCTCCAGCATCCAGCGATTGAAAGACTCCCGAGGGGGCTCAATGCCTGCAATCAGGAGAGATGATGACGGTCTGGATTTAGTCAGCAGGCTGCGTGCAGCCCAGCTCGGGAGAGGCACCGCGTGGGCATCGGAGGTGCAACAGGAAATGGGACAAGGGGCGGGGTGTCCGGGGCTTCCATTCTCATAGTGTTTTCCAAAGTGCACTCTGAGAATAACTAGTTTTATCAAGCATGTTAGTAAGTGTTACACAGGGTAAGGAGGGGGCATTCTGTGTTTCAGCAAAGGTAAGCAGGATTGTTTACTAATTAACGCTGCTGTTCCTGCACACTCCCCACCCCACTTATTCCCTGCGGTACTCGCGGGTGCTTTCGCGTTTACACCCTTTTACAGACAGTGCCTGGCAACAGTGAGCACTCTGAAAGCGTCAATAACTGTGTTTTGTTGTTACTGACCCCAGCCACCCTTTTACGTGGGCACTGGTGGTGTCCGTCTTACAGGTGACGATGGAGAGCCGGTGCCAAGAGGCTAAGTGAGGAGCCTGAGCTCACAGAGCCAGTGCTTAGTGGAGCTGGGACTCCACCTGGCCTGTGCCCTCTGCAGCGCATGCTCAGCTGGTGGGCCCAGCTGGCGGACCCTCGCTCCTGCTACAGGTGGATGCAACACAGGAGGCCGAGCCCCCCAGGGGACAGTTACCCTCTCGCTGCTGGCACAGCTCCCGGTAGTGCTGCCGCAGCTTCAGGATGAGCTGGGAGCGGAGCAGCTCCACCTCGGGATGCGGGGGCAGCACCTCTGAAGGCCCCCGGTGCTTGATGACAGCGTTGGTCTGGATATCCAGATCCCAGTACACCCTTGGGGCACGGACGGGAGCAATGAGGAAGGCAGAGAAAAGGGAAGCAGGGCACCCTGCCGGCCACCACACACCCTCAATCCCAGGCAGGCTGGCCACCAATGACGGATGCCCCTAAGCCAGTCAGCAGGGACTCACTCAGTGGGTCGGAGGAGAGCTGCCTGCTGTTTATCTTCAGGGGATGTCCCCCAAATCTTCAGTGTTGGGGTTCCTGGGACATTAGGGGAGCTGGGCACCGATGGACCTGTGGGTGTCACAGGGATTTCGATCTGGAGCAAAAGAGTCAAAGTCATCAAGTTAGGAGAGATGGCCGATGGCTCCAGTGCCATGTGCACCTGGGGAGCTGTGCCCTGGGCTCCTCCCCGCCCCTGTCTAACCTGCCAAAGCCCAGCCCTTGCAGAGAACCACAGACCCTGCTGGCTGCCCACCCAGGCGCTGTACTCACCTTGGGCTTCTTCACACCATTGCCACTTGGCTGCTCTTCCGAGAGCTGCCGCTTCCGAGGCTTGTTCTCAGCCGGGGGGGTTTCCACCAAGCTTGAGTCTTGGGGCAGTGGGGTCGCATTCAGCCCCAAAGGGTCCGACTGGAAGAGGGAGACCAGCAGAGTTGCAATCAGAGCCAGCAGCTTAGGAGGCCCAGTACTGCGGGGTCCTGATGTCCCTGCCCCTGCTCCTTGGAGACGAACAGGGGGCTGGGGTGCAGAAACAACACTGGGTTCCACTCCTGACGTTACTGGGTTGGCCAGAAAGTCTGTTACGTTTTTTTTCCTGTAAGATGGTTCTAGTAGTGCTTAGTTGTCTTGAACTTCATTTGAAACAATTTTGTTAGATTGTATTGTGACAGCTGCCAAAACAATGTGCCTTTTTTAAAAAAACAGAATTTGTGTGCAGCCATTTTAATATTGAAGGTGGAAGAAAACATGCAACATTTTTGGCACATTATGCTTTACTATTTCAAGACAGATAAAAATGCAACTGAAACACAAAGGTCTGTGCTGTGTATGGAGAAGGTGCTGTGACCAAACCTGTCTAAAGTGGTTTGTGAAGTTTCTTGGTACTGTCGACATTTTGACAAATGATTCTTTGCTGTGGGGCTGTCTTATGCACTGAAAGATGTTAGCAGCACCCCTGGCCTCCACCCACTAGAGGGCAACAACAGGAGATAGCCGACACACTCAAAACATCCAAATCAATAAAGTTACTGGTGAAAATGGAAAGTCTGTCTTTTATTTTATGAAAAGAACTAAATGAATGGACTTTTTGGCCAACCCAGTACTTGCAAATGCATGACCTTGGGGGTAACTTCCCTTCCTAATTCCCTCAGCTTCAAAATGGCCATGATACCTCACCACTGGGACAGTAATTAAACAAGTCAACAAATATGACCAGCTTAACATGACATCTGGCATGAGGCCAGCACTCAATACATGTTAGTTTCTTTTTCTTAACCAGAATGAAAGTCAGGAATGAAGGAAAAACTTAAAAAAATGCTTGATATTTAAAAAGCAAGGCCCTGTGAATGAACACCTTTGATGACACCAAGGCTATAAATGTGATAATGGGTGGTGGGGCCCTGAAATCAGACCAGGTGCTGCCTCTTACTGGCTGTGAGGTCTTGGGCCAGTCATTTCCCCTCCCTGAGCCTCACTGTCTTCATCTGCAAAATAGGGGTGCCAACTGGCCTGACTATTGCAAGAAAAGGAAGCCTACCCCAAGTGACAGGGACCCAGAAGCCCACATCTCCCCGACCACACTGACATCGCAGCTCCCAGAATGCCCGTGTCCTCCCCTTACCATTTACCCTCAGCCACCCTTCTTATCTTAAGCTGTTATCTCAACTTTATCTTAGAGTTCAGAAAAGCTCACAGAGAATCCCCTACCCTGGGACCCACTCAGGATCCCTGATGTACTCTAATGCCCTCCATCACTCAAGTGCCACATCATAATCCCACTGGCCCCGCCCTTCCAGCAGATGGTGGTGTGCCCCGAGAGTGGGGGGGTAGGACCACGTCTATCTTGTTCATGCTGCATCCCAAGCACAGTGGCCAACATGTAGTACACGTTCAGTATCATGCACTATTTTAATCATCCGTTTCCATGACAGTCTCCTTGAGTCCAGGTTCCATGAGGGCAGGGGTTGTGTCTGTCTTGCTGTCACTGTACCCACAGGACTAGGCACAGAATAGCTGTTCAGGGTATATTTGGGGGAGACCCAGACGCCCGAGACTGGCACTTACAATCACGTCATGCTGGCCCAGCACAGGCATCTCCCACAGGGACTGGTTGGTGAATCTGTTGAAGTAGTAGGGACGGTTCTCCCTCCTGCTCCAGCACTTCTCCCAGCCCGCGTGCACCAGCTCTTCTGCAAACAAGCACGGAACCCAGCCCGATCAGGGAGGCTCCTGAGCACCCTTCTGACCCCGCCACCCTGCCGTTGCCCCTTGCCAGTACCTGGGAGGTCCTGCACCAGGCGGATGGGCTTTGGAGAACAGGGCTGGCTCTGATTGGAGGTGCCTGGGGAGTGACTCAGCAAGGACGCTTCCTCCCGGGGGCTGCCGTGATTCTCTTTGGCCATCTCAGCACCCACACCGGACCTGCCACAGAGGACCAAAGGGTGTCAGGGCCTGCAGGGCATGGAAGTCAGCCCCACCACCACCCCCCAATTACAACCTAGAGGGCCCCAGGAGCACCTGCAGGTGTGGGAGATCAACCCAGACCTGTCCTGGGGGGTCAGCATGGAGCCACAGAAGGAACCTAGAATCTAGGTCGCAGCCTCTCAGCTGCAAAATGGGTGCACTCCTATTGCTCCTCCTGCCTGAAATGTTATTTCCCCAATTATCTGCCTGGCTTGCCACTAGGTTCACATCCTCCAGGAAGCCTTCCTTGATTCTCCCTCCCCCCAGCAAGTGGTCCGAGCCCCTCCTCAGGGCCATGAACATCTATGTGGTGGCATGCAGGAAGTCTGTGGTCTATCAGCTGGGTTTTTCTCCCCATTCGACTGTCAGCTCTCCCAGGACTAGGAACTGGGTCCAGTGTAGCTCTCTCCGGAGTGCCCAGCAGGGTCCCTGGGCCCCACAGGAGCTCCGTTTATTCTGTGCATGTTTACAAAGCACCAGCGACAAACGGGACAGAAGAGGGTCTGCCCTTGAGAAGCTATTCCCACAAGGAGGAACTGTAACTCCTCTTTCCTGCTTCTATCCAGTAAAATCTCATCGGCACAAGACACAGCCTGGGAAGGGAGATGGCATCTAACTGGATGTCTCATTTTATGCTACAGGGTAGGAAGCAACCTGCTGCTAGAAGAACCAGTGGAACTAAGAAGGAATATTTAATTCAGTCCTTCATAATCCCCAGGGGAAATTTTATTTAAATACCAGGAAGAGGGCCAGCACCTTCAGATGTGTGTTACCTACTGCCCCCACCCAAAACACACCCAGCACAGGTCTCAATGGACAAAGTAGTTCCCAACTTGGCATTCGACTCTGAGGTGGCCAACCGTGACCACATCGGTGATCCTAAAGGTGTTTCCAATATATCACAATACCCACAAGAAACCAAACATTTAGGCCACAAAGGCACATTTAAACAACAGTTATCTTTGCTTGCTGAAATTTTATCAACTCATTGTGGCACACTGATTATCTCATGCTGATCAGAAGCTCTGATTGGCTGTTGACAACATCATAGAAATCACTGGGACATTGATTTTATTGTACACTCAGTTGCAAACATCTCCGTTAATTTGGAAAGGGACAAGTGAATGGCTACTTCATCAGTACAGTCTGGCGGATAAAAACTCAGGAGCAAGAAGACACACGTACAATAAAAAGGGGGCCACGGGGACAAAAAGGTTTGGAACCACTGACCAAGGAGAGAAAAGGCTCTGGCTGCCTTGGTTCTCCGAGGAAGAGCGGTTCCTGGTGCCTTGGGGCTGAGCCCACAGGTCTCGAGGCTGAACGAGGTCCCCCTTTTTCTCACCCTCTGGGGTCTGCAACGCTAGCATGAGAGGGTTTTCTTCTCTGGCCGGATGGACCCCACACCACAGGGTCCCACAGAGGCGGAAGGGAGGCCTGCGGAAAGGCTCAGCTCAGGTGGGTGGGCTGGTCAGCAGTGGAGTGAACGGGGACCCAGGGAACTCCTTGCATCGGCAACTGCGGAGTAAATAAAAGAAAAGAGTCACAGACGTGTGAAACGCTGCAGAGCAGGGACAACAGCAAGAGGGGCGATGACACAGAGCAAGCTGGCAGCCTGCAGAACACACTGTGGGAGAGCTGGGAGTCCTGGGGATGAAAGTGGTACTTCTCAGGCTTCCCAGCCAGCGGGTTCGCCCGCACAGACTTGCAGCCCGAAGGCACAGAGAGCTCCATGCTGAGGAGGGCCCTGAGCCTAATTTAATGTTCTGCTGTCGCTGTACTGGAATTTTTAACACGGGGCCCACATTTTCATTTCACACACTGGACCCCTGAAATTGCTCAGTTCGTCCTGCCAACCAAAGTTTCCCTAAGGGGAAAGTGAACCACCATACACATCACCAATCCGGGGGCAAGTCCCAAGCCACCCACAGAGGGAGAAAAACACTCTTCTTTGACTGAGGTCTTAAAAAAAAAGCGCACACACATGCAAATGGATTATACGACACAGCGTGTTCATTTTATTGAAAACTGTCTTCCCCCAGAAACACTGTGCGACCCTGATGCAGGAAGATTAACCATGCAGAGCAGGCACAGGGGCACACAGCTTAATGAGGCCAAACGGGGACACTGCAGCGTTTCCACAACCGGCTGCGCATCAGAACCACCAGGGGGCTTGTAAAAAAAAAAAAAAACACCGATCAGATTCCCGTCCCTCGAGCCACATCCTGGGAGTCAGAGATGGGGAGGGGAGGTACACAAGAATTTGTTTCTTTTTAATGAGCCTCAAGAGTGGGACTGAGAGACGTATGAACAACCTTTTGCTTTATACCACTTCAAATCTTTATCAATGCTTTACAATTTTAAAAAGGTTAAAAATTTCCAGCTGATCTGAATACAGCAGGTCGTTGACGAAAGTACCAGTTGGGTTTGGACAAACCTAGGCACCAGGCCCTTCTGACACTTTGCGATTTGTAAGCCGAACTCAACCTCTAAGGTCTATCCATACGCATTGAGTCTACCATATTGTACACTCTAGTAATAAATAACTGCTATTATTAAAACGACGTTTTTATTTATACTGTAGCTCGCCGGCCCCCAGCATACCGAAGTTTGACAGTTTAAGGATAAACAACTCTATCTGCGCAACCAAGGGAACCCACCAGAACGTATAGTCCGACTCCCGGATTGGACAATGACGGGGCGGGATCATTTCAGCAATACACCAATCAGAGTCCTCTAGCCCAGTAGGGCGGAGTCAAAGGACTGGCAAAGTGCGCAGGTGCGGGGGGCTCGCGAAGGAGGGGCGACCCCCAGCGCGCGCACACCTTCCCCTCTCCCCCACCTCGGCGGGGGCGGGCTGTTGGGCGCGCGCGCGCCGGCCCTTCTCTCGGACTCCGCCCCCCGCCCCGCCGCGCGCTCCCGCCCCCGGGCTGAGGCGACTCAGAGTCGGAGCCCGACACAAAGGCGGTGGCGGCGGCAGCAGCGGAGGGGCCCTAGAGGCCGCTCCGCCCGCGCTCTCCGGGCCCACCTCCTTCACCCGGGCTACCGGCCCCGCCGCCCACCCGCAGGCCTAAGATGGCGGCGATGGCAGAAACGAAGCAAGCGGTGGCCCCGACTGGAAAGCGGCAGAGAGGCCACCGCCACGCAGCTTCGGACTCCCGGATCCTGGCAGGGCTCGCGGCGGGACCATGGCTTCCTGGGGCTCTTACCTGCCCGAAGCGGACTCGAAAGGATGCGGCTACACGTTCTGCTCGGCTGCCCGTTTTGCCGCCTCCGCCTCGCCCTCCCCAGCGCCGCTCCCGCCATCTTGTGTCCCAGGCCGGGACTCCGCACTACGCATGCGCTGGTACCGCCTCTGAGGGACCTCTCCGCTGCCAGCCGCCATCTTGAGTGTGGCGGACCGATCGGGTCCTCAGACCCTGCTAGCTCACGACCCCCTCCCCTTTCTTCTATCTTTCCCTTTTCTTCCATGCGGGTCTGAGCAGAGGGAGGTAGCTTTGTGGGCCCTAGGGTATGAGTTGAGGAAGGAACGGACTCACAAACACTCCCTGCCTCAGTTTCCCACGCCAGCACACCCGCTGGGGCAGAAGGACTCGGGTGGGCGGTGCGCAGGCAGGGTCCGACTGAGTGTGCGCACCAGGGGGCGCAGGGCGGGTTTGAAAGCTGCAGGGGCTCGGCTGCGACGCCGATCCGAGGGCGGAGCCCTGATGACGTAGTTGTGAACGTAGCGTGGATCCGGGCTCTAACCCCGGTGCATCTCTGCCTCTTGCGGATGGTCGCTTGCCTTCTCTGGGGCTCGGTCCAGAGTTTTTTACAGCCGTTGCCTGTATCCAGGCTGCAAGCAAATCCAACCTTTTCCCATAATCAGGCTGCACAGGTTATACGTGTTTTTGAGTAGAAGAAAGGACAACTGTGGAAACAATAAAGATGGCTTTGCTTGCTAAGTCCAGCAGGCTAATTTTAAGTACAAACATTATACACCCGAAAAACAGATGACTTTGGGCAAAGTTAGGAAATTATACACTAAATGCATCTGAGGGTCTTTTCAACACTGACATCTGTGGCCACTAGTTGCAGTGCAAATCCTCACTGAGACCTCAAACCAACCACAAAAGTTGGTCCAGCAGACTAACAGTTGCTGGGCGCTCTATGCTCAACTCCATTGAGGCCCAGAGACTCTCTAGCTCCACTTTCTGGGTTCCCAAGTGAGCCTGCTTGCCAAGGGTAGCTCGAGAGGACAAAGTCGCCACCTGCTATTCTACTTGAGTTTCCTGTGTGGAGCTAGAGGCTGCAGATACCCCAGCTGGGTGGCCTCTTGTGTCTATGGAGCTTGGTGGAGCTGGCAGCGTCAAAACTGGAGGCAGTGGTGTGAATAGTAATTAAGAACTAGAGTTCTCCATTTTTTCAAGACTGTATTCCTTTTTAGAAAGAAGGAAAAGGAAGGAGGAAGAGAAACATCAGTGTGTGGTTGCCTCTCACTCCCCACTGGGGTCCTGGCCTGCAACCCAAGCATGTGCCCTGACTGGGAATCGAACCAGTGACCCTTTGGTTCACCGGCCAGTGTTCAGTCCACCGATCACTGGCTGGCTCAGTCCAGCCAGGGCTGGAGTTCTCTGTCTGATAAAGTAAATGAGTAATTGGTGTTGGCGAGGATGAGGAGAAAGGGGAACCCTGGTACACTTGTTACTGGGAATGTAAATCGGTGCAGCCACTGTGGAAAATGTACAGAACTACCATGTGATCCAGGTGTTCCACTTCTAGATACCGATCTGAAGAAAACACTGATTTGGAAAGATAAACAGCCCTATGGTTATGTTTATTACAGCATTGTTTACAATAGCCAAGGTATGGAAACAACCCAAATGTCCATCAATGGTCGAATGGATCAAGATGTGATACAGGCATACATGCTGAAATAACTGCTCCACCATAAAAAAGGAAATTCTGCCGTTTGCAACAACATGGGTGAACCTTGAGGGTATTATGCTAAATGAAATAAGTCAGAGGAAGATAAAATACCACATCATTCCACTTACATGTGGAATCTTTTAAGAAGTTACAACAGATTGGTGGTTAACGGGAAGGGGGTTGGTGTGGGCAAAATGGGTAAAGGCAGTCAGTTGCTGGTGATGAATAGTAACTAGACTTCCTGTGGTGATCAGTTTGTAATATATGCAAAGTTTGAATTACTCTGTCGTACATCTGAAACTAGTATGCTATATACCAGTGTTACCTCAATTTTAAGAATAACTGGGTTTCACTCTGGCGGGCTAGCTCAGTTAGGGTATCATCCCAATAGGCCGAGGTTGCAGGTTCCTTTGTCAAAGCACATAACAAAAACAACCAATAAACGAGTAAGAGGAAGAACAAAGCGATGTCTCTCTCCACTACCCCTTCTCTCTATTCTCTCTAACCAGTTAAAAAATAGGCCCTGGCAGGTGTAGCTCAGTGGATTGAGGGTGGGCCTGCAAACCAAAGGGTTGCCAGTTCAATTCAGGACACACGCCTGGGTTGTAGGCCTGGTCCCCAGGAGGGGGCATGCAAGGGGCAATCACACATTGATGTTTCTCTCCCTCTCTCCTTCCCTTCCCCTCTCTCTAAAAATAAAATCTTTTAAAAAATAAATAAAAAATAGGTTTCTCATCAGACTGGGTTCAAACCTTCATCTCCTCACTTGCCACGCACAGTAAAAACCTCTCCATGCTTGTTTCCACTACCTTAAAGCAAGCCCCATTATTTTAAAACTTTTTGTTAGGGTGGCACACATACAGAAATGTGCACAGAACAAATGTAAAAACACTGATGTGGCCCTGACTGCTGTGGTTCAGTGGATTGAGTGCCAACCTGTGAACTAAAGGGTCCAGGGTTCCATTCCCAGTCAGGGGGCATGTCTGGGTTGCCGACCAGGTCGTCACTAGAGGGCACGCGCGAGAGGCAACCACACCAATGTTTCCTCTCCTTCCCTTCCCGTCTTTAAGAAACAAACTAAAACACTCAGCTCAAGGTATTGTCCAGCAGAATTCCCCAGTGGGGTAATCACTCTCCCCACTATTGCGATCATTTCCTTGCTTTTATAGTTCACCACCTAAGCCTGCATCCCTAAACACTACAGTTTTGTTTTGCCTGTTCCTGGAACTTGATGAAAATGGGATGATACAGTCCTAATTTGTGTTTTCTTTTGCTCGGCATCACACTTGCAAACCCATCCCTGTGGTCGCAGGTAGCTGCAGTTCATTTTCACGGTCGTATTCCGTCTTCCACTGTCTATCTACTGCACCATTGAGGGGTGGTTGAAGATCCCTGCCCCCACCTCTTCTCTGAATTACCACAGTAGTCTCCAAACTGGGCTTCCGGTCCCCCAGCCTTGCTTCTCTCCTAGCCTGTGATCCACCCAGCAGTCACAGGGCTCCCTTTAAGTCTGGTCGTGTTGCAGGTCAGACCGAGTAACCATGGGCTTGAGAACCTCGAATGTCTCATCGTCTGCAGGGTAAGTCCCAAACCCTCAATCTGGTTCACAGTGAGCGGTACCATGGCAGAGCGTCTGTGATGGGCTGTGCCAAGCGTTTGACGTACATTCGTGTTTCTCACAACCTGGAGCCTCAAACCATCTCTCCACCCAGTCCCAGCCATCTTGAACTACCTAAGTGTACCAGGTTGTCTCTTGACCCTGGTCTTTGCATATGCTATTTACTCTCACTCTTCCCACTTTGCCTAATTCAGCTTTCAAGTCTGAGCTTAGATGTCACCTCTACCAGGCAGCCTTCCCTGGACTCAGCTGCCCCCAGGCCAGGTCATGTCCCCTCTTCTGTATCTCCATGTGGGCCTGTGCTCAGTGTCTGTCGATTCTTTTCATCCACCAGGCTGTGACTGCCTGAGTGCAGGGCCACGGCTGTTGTCCCCTGTGGCCCTGTGCCCAGTGCTGTGCCCGACACTCTAAATACTGCATTTGTTGACTGTGGACAGAGCACACTGGATTGAAGGCTGGGTGACTTTTTCAGGTATCCGCGTTTCTATTCCAGGCTCTAGTTTCTGTGATGGAAGCACCAAGGCAGCGCCCTTTGGGGTGCCAAGAAAAGCACAAGCCACCCACTGTGGCCGAGTCCCTGCCAGCAACCCAGTGTCCTCCGCTCCCAAGATGGGGGTGAACAGGTCGAGCAAAGATCCTGGGACTTTGAAGCTCTCCGCCGCCTTTTCTGGACTCTCTGGAGCCTCTCTGGACAGCAGGACTGGGTTGGGAGAGATGGGTAGGATAGGCGGGGCTTCTCCAGCAATGGCCAGTCCTGGCTGGGAGCCTGCAATCAGGGCCTCTGAGGACCCGGGCTCAATGCAGGACGAAGCAGAAGCACGCAGGCGGAGGTTGCCATATGCCTTCACCTCCTTATTCCTTCCCACTGCAGCAAGAAGCTGCTGAGAGGGAGCCACACATTCGAAGCCCTGGTGGTTTGGGAAGGGAGGCTCCAGCATGACCCTGTTCCAAGCTGCCCCCGCCCAGGCGGGGCCTGAGCTACCAACCATCGGCCCCGTTCCGCAGTTTAAATAACACTAGGGCAGTTTCCAAGGCGAGCAGGCGTGGCCCCAGGCAGGCTGTGGAAGGGAGGCTTCACCCCAAACTGTGGTTTCCACAGGGAGTGGCTCTCTGGCCATTCTGGGGCCACATAAGAGAAGCCATTTAGGCCAGGAATAGATGAGGGGAACGGCGCGTCTGGCCTTCCCATCCCTGCTGTCAGTGTCTGATGTGGTGTCACGCTCCCTCTCATTTCCTCACTCAGCGTGGCCCTCAGACCAGAGGACCAGCACTAAATAAGGCAGACTCTTTCCCCCCAGGGAGCCCGCAGAGGCGTGGGAGAAGCAGACCATAAATAAACCCTCAGCGGCAGGGAGATAAGGGCTCTTTTGGGATGTCCAGGGGGTGGGCATGCAAACGTGAACCCTTCAGAAGAGATGACCATGAGCTGCATCTTGCAGGAAGAATAGGATTTTCCAGGTGGGCAAAAGACGGGGAAGAATGCAGCCCGCACCCAAGCCTGGGGTTGCAGGAAGGCACAGTGTGTTGGGAGAATGAGTCAGCCCAAGCACCGCCAGGTACCGGGGCAGGTGCAGGGCGAACCAGAGCCTCGGAGTCAGGTTCTGTTTTGGGTGAGCGCTCAACCTCCCTAACAGGCTGTTTGGACAGCTCAGGACAGGGGTGGGGGCACCCCTGGTGGTCCTGGCCATCGTCCCACCCATTCCCTCTGATGCCCACTGTTCTATTCTGGGCACAGTGGCCAAGAGCCAGGATGTTTATACCCATACGAGCTGAGGCAGCAGAATCAAATCTAAGACTTCTCTAAACAAGAAGCCCGGGTGACAGCTGGCAGCTTCCTGAAATTCAAAGATCAGAGGAAATTTTGACCCAGAGCTGGAGTGGGGGATAGGAGGGAGGGTACCGACTGAGCCTGGGTCCCAGCCAAGGGGGTCCTAGGACGCTCAGCTTCTAACCCAGAGGTCTCAACCCTGGCTACGAGAGACCTTTTTAACAGCTTTATTGGTGTATAATTTCCATACCACTAGATTCACCAGGTTCAAATAGACAATGCAAAGATTTTGAATAAATTTACATCTTTGCACAACCATCACCACGATTCAGTTTTGGAACATTTCCATCACCCCAGAAGATCTCTTGGGACTATTTGCAATCAACCCCTCTCTGCATCCCCACCCCCCCACCCCCCCACCCCCGTCCCAGACTAACCACCCATCTGCTTTCTGTCTTTACAGAGTTGCCTTTTTCTGACCTTTCATATGAATGAGATCATACAAAATGTAGCCTTTATGTCTCGCTTCTTTCATTTTGCGTAATGTACTTGAGACTCGTACATGTTGTGTATAGCAGGTGTCAGGAGTCCATTCTTCTGCGTTGCTGGACAGTATTCCGTTGTACAGCTATACCACATTTTGGTGATCTGTTTAGCAGCTAATGGACATTTGGGTTGTTTGCACTTTTGAGCTATTATGGCTAAAGCTGCTATGAACATTTGCGCACGAGTGTCCGTGCGTGCGTACATTTTCCTTTTTGTTGGACGGACGATATAGGCCCCCTGATAAGGACCTCAGAGTGGAATTGCTGTAGAACACATTTATGCTTAACTTTACGGGGAACCGCCAGATGTTTTCCAAAGCCATCACACCATTTTAACATTCCTAGCAGTGAAGTATGAGCGTCCTTGCCGACACCTGTTATTGTCGGTCTTTTTAAATTACATTCTGCTGAGGAACTTTGTAAAAAACACCCATTGATGCCGAGGCTCCATCCCAAACCAATTAAACCAGAATCATGGAGTCTGGGCCCCAGGCACAGGGATTTAAAACAGAACAGAACAAAGCCAAAAACCTTGTCCCTAAAAGCTGCTCGTGTGCAGACGGGCTGAGAGCCCTGATTTTAGGTCTGATTTCTGTCCTCCTGGGCACTGAGAGGGAGCTCATGCTGGCCATCGGCCTCTCTCACACTGGGAAGCGCGTGGGCTTGGGGTCCAGGAAACCAGATGGCCCCCAAGAAGGGACACGTGCAGTCCCAGAGCAGACGGGCCTGCTGGGAGCGAGGTGGGGAGGACCTGGGATTGCAGCAAGGAGGCCTGACTCGTGCACGGCCAGCTGAGATGCTGAGGGGTTGGGATACCTCCCGCTCCCATGACCTTCGGACCGTTCGGGCTTCCGAAGAGATTGGGACAGCAGGACACCCCTGGCTGCAGACCAGCTGCAGGCAACCCTGGAGAAATGCAAGGAATTGAGCGGAGTCGGCGGGAACTACAGGGAGCTTAGTGGCTCAGGGGGATAATCCGGCCAGAGTCACGCAGTCTGGGGGACAATCTCTTCTTTTCAAAGGGTCCGCAGATCATAATAACCACCCATGCCCCAGGTACCAGACCCTGTGCTGGGCACTGGGGAGCCAGCCGTGAATAAGTGTCAGCCTCCCACCCTCGTGGAGCTTGCAGGCTCCTGGAAGAAACAGGCCACACAGAATTAAACAGAAGGGCAGGTAACGGTGACGGGGCCTGTGGGCGTGGGTGACGTCTGAGCAGAGAGCTGAGTGACTGGAGGAGGCCAACTACACCCGGGTCTCTGTGCCAAGACGTACCTGGTAGAGGGAAGAGTTCATGGAAAGCTCCAGGCTGAGCGAGGCTGGCGTTTTCCGAACAGTGGGAGCAGGTGGAGCGGTAAAGAGGAAAGAGCAAGGTCACGGCCAGAGCCCAGGTTTTGTTTTGTGTGCAATGGGGAAGCGGGGCAAGTGGAGGGTTTCGAGCAGGGTAGTAAAATGCTATGATTTCTATTTTTGTTTTTTAAAGATTTTATCTATTTATTTATTTATTTTTAGAGAGAGGGGAAGGGAGGGAGAAAGAGAGAGAAAAACACTGATGTGAGAGATATATTGATCGGCTACCTCTCCTACACCCCCAGCTGGCGACCTGGCCCGCAACCCAGGCATGTGCCTTGACTGGGAATCGAACCGGCGACCT